TCTAGTCGGTGGTATTGTTGTAGGATAATTGGTGGTAGTCGGAACATGTTCTTTTGCTATCTGAGGTCCACCAAATTTGCTAGCAACCGTACCAGTAACTTCACTTTCGCTGATCGCGCCAGCATCATCAGTTGAAATTCCGTCAAATTTGGGGCTCTTTCGTGGAGTTTCAATTTGTTTCTTAGACATGATGATGAATAATCGTGGGTAAGATGGGTAATCTGTTTTGATGTTGGATTAGATGAGAAAAAATGGAGAAAGTTTGATAGTGGGTTGTGGGTTGAGTCGTGTGGGAGTGAAGAAACGTGTGGGATGGTGGTGTGATCGATGATTGGGGATGGTAACGCGGGTAAACAAGGAAAGGAAATCCCTAAAATTGGGTAACTGAAAATTTTAGTTTTTAAAAAAGGAAGTAAATTAATTATCTATTATTAATTAATAATAAAAAAACTATAAATAGATTAATAATTTATTAAAATAAAATATAATTTAATTTTTAAAATAAAATAAAATTTAACTGATATGTCATAACCCGTAAATAATCTGTTATAAGCAATAAATTTTTAAAAAGTAGATTTAAAAACCTGTAATATTTACTCTTAAATGTGTATATGGGGTGATTTTACCTTGTGAAAATTTCATATATGACATATATTAGACTAATATTTTCAAGTTATAGCAGTAGAATCAAACTTTTCAAGTTGTAACATTAAAAATTTCAGGTTCTAACAGATTATTAAAAAAAAGTTATTTTTAATAATTAAAAACATTTGATTTGAAAAGAATAAAAAGATTAATTTTTTTAAAATAAAACGTTTATGGAGGAAAAAATGAAAAAAAAAAAAGGAAATAGGGGTGCCAATTAAATTTGAATTAATTTAAGATAATTATTAATTAGCATGAATTAAGGAATTTCAAACTAATTAAGAATATTTAGTTTCCTTAATTCACTCTAATTTGTTAAAATTAACTCAAAAATATGATTTTATCCATTTTTCTTCCACGTTTCTCTCTCTCCGATTTTCTTCTAGAAATTTTGTCACTAGCGACTAATTGAAGTTTTTTTTTTGTTTGAAAAATCCTGATTTTTTTGTGATGGACAACTACGTATCAATATTAATTAAACATGGCGGAAGATGGGATCCTTCAGGTTAGTATTTGAATTGTTTACTATTTGTATTTGGATTTCAGTGAAATGAAAAAAAAAATGAAACTGTAAATCACATTTTGTGATTTTGTTTTTGTAAATCGTCACTATATTGAATGTGATATGTTTTTTGTATAAAACAATACGTTTTGTTCATAATACGTATTAGTTGTTGTGAAACTGTAATATCAGTGATTTTCTTGGTAAGTTACTGTTTTTTGGTAGGGGTTTAATGTCACCATATTTTTTATTTTTTGGTTATTTTTTATATTGGCAAAACAATGATTTCGTGAGAAGTTGTCGCAATATATGAAAGATTTGAGTATAAATGTATAACATATAAATATTTTTATCGTTGTAGATTGAGTACGTAGATTAAAATTATAATATCGATTACTGTTTTTTTCCTGAAAAAATAAATTGAAATGTATAGTTTGAATGAATTTGTTAGTATAAGTGTAATGAATTTGGTTTGAAAGTGTATTCAATTATAATATCGATTACTGTTTTTTTTCCTGAAAAAAATAAATTGAAATGTATAGTTTGAATGAATTTGTTAGTATAAGTGTAATGAATTTGGTATGAAAGTGTATTCACTAATGTGAAAAAAAGGTTATTTAGAATTTTGAAGAATTGTATGACAGTTGTTTTAAGTTGGTATGAAAGTGTGTTAACTAATTAGTAAAAAAAGTTATTTAGAATTTTGAATAATTGTATGAAAAGTGTTTTAAGTTGGTATGAAATTTGAAATGTTATTGTTTATATAAGTTTTGTCAATTATGTATAAATTTGTGTGAAAGGAATGAACTATTTGGTATGAGAAATGTATAAATTTGGTATAAATGATGA